GCGATGTCCGCCCGCTCCTCCGCCTCGTCCAACTCGTGCTGAACCTTCCGGAATTTGGCGAGGTTGGTATTGGCCTGTTCCTCCTGAGAGGGGGAGTAGAAAAGGATTGAGGGACGTTGTTCTTGCTACTCTCTTCGTTTGGAGTCCACTGTCCGGTTGTGGACATGACACTCCAGAAAGGGACAGGAGATCAAGGTCCAAAGAGGAAGAACCAGATTGGGGAAGGATCTGGAAATTAAAATCCTGTGAAGGATCAGCTGAAGGATCTCTGTATGACTGGCCCACAGAGCACACAACTGAGAAGAGACACAGGAGCAGTTGTCAGGTAAGAGTAACAGAATTGGAAGGGACCTTAGTGGTCATCTAGTCCAACCCCCTGCTCTCGCAGGAGACCCTCTACCATTTCAGACAAGTGGCTGTGCAGTCTCTTCTTAAAAACCTCCAGTGTTGGGAGCGTTCACAACTTCTGGTGGCAAGCCGTTCCACCGATTTAATTGTTCTGTCAGGAAATTTCTCCTCAGTTCTAGGTTGCTTCTCTCCTTGATTAGTTTCCATCCGTTGCTTCTCGTCCTGCCTTCGGGTGCTTTGGAGAATAGCTTGACTCCCTCTTCTTTGGGGCAGCCCCTGAGAGATTGGAAGGCCGCCATCATGTCACCCCCTACGTCCTTCTTTTCACTAGACAAGGTATCTCCGGTTCCTGCAATCGTTCTTCGTATGTTTTGGCTTCTAGGCCCCTGATCATTTTGGCTACGATCCGTAACCTCGTTTGCGTAGTATCCCAGTTGCAACTCACCAAGGTTGTAAAGTGGCTTGTGGCATCCCCAGAATTGATTTTTACGGCCTTTCTTTCGTCGTTAAGATGAGGCATTTCTTAATTTATTTATTTTTTTTTTTAACGATTTTAAAACAAAATTAGTTAGTCTGCAAGGATGCTAGTGGACTCCTTTCCAGAAACGAACACGGATTTTTTTTCCAACTTTGGAGAATACATTCCAACAAATGAGGTGCAGCTACGACACAGGCAGTTTTTTTGACTTATGATCACAATTGAGGCCGAAAAAAATCGGTTGTTAAGTGAGACATTTGTTAAGTGAATTTTGACCCCCTTTGACCCCCTTTCTTCCCACGGTTCTTAAGTGAATCACCGCAGTTATTAAGTTAGTCACCCGGTCGTTAAGTGAATCTGGCTTTCCCCCACTGACTTTGCTTGTCAGAAGGTCGCAAAAGGGGGATCACGTAACCCTGGGACGCTGCCACCGTCGTAAATATGAGTCAGTTGCCAAGCGTCAGAATTCTGGTCACGTGATCATGGGAGAGGCTGCAATGGTCGTAAGAGTGGAAAAACGGTCTGAAGTGACTTTTCTCAGTCCCGCTGTAACTTCGAACGGCCACTGAATAAACGGTTGTAAGTTGAGGACTAGCTGTAAAAGGAACAATTCTTTTCTCCTTTACTCTACCCCGTAATTTAGAACAATTAACCAGTGGAACTACCTGCCTCCAGAAGTGGTGAATGCTCCAACACTGGAAGTTTTTAAGAAGAGACTGGACAGCCAGTTGTCCGAATTGATATAGGGTTACCTGCCTGAGCAGAGAGTTGGACTTGATGACCTCCAAGGTCCCTTCTGAGTCTGTTATTCTGTTTTCCTTCCTTCCTTCCTTCCTTCCTTCCTTCCTTCCTTCCTTCCTTCCTTCCTTCCTTCCTTCCTTCCCTCCTTCCTTCCTTCCTTCCTTCCTTCCTTCCTTCTCCAACACTGGAAGTTTTTAAGAAGAGACTGGACAGTCATTTGTCTGAAATGGTATAGGGTTTCCTGTCTGAGCGGGGGGGTTGGAATAGATGACCTCCAAGGTCCCTTCCACCTGTTATCCTTCCTTCCTTCCTTCCTTCCTTCCTTCCTTCCTTCCTTCCTTCCTTCCTTC